AATTTTAAAATCAGTACAATTGGAAATGTACATATTTGTTTTAGTCTAATAAGATTTACTCTGGATGATGCATCAAAAAGCGATTAGAACAAACTTGAATTTTTATCCAGTTCTAAAATTTTTACTTTGTTATCAACTCAGTTTGAAACATAAAGTTAACATGAAGTTAACGTTTGTTCTGGGCAGAATCCTGCACGTAATCTGTTAACTTGTTCTGTAATGGACAATCAGGTTATCCTCGAGAATAATATGACAACAAGCTAATTCTCAAGCAATATAAAGGCTTTCATGTCATATCTGACCCTTAGCAGAGTTCTTCACAGGTGATGGTCCATGAAATAGGAGGTAGTGTGTGTGTGTGTGTGTGTGTGTGTGTGTGTGTGTGTGTGTGTGATTTAGATTTTTAATGTAGCTTTAACAATTCTTCAGTCATATCGCCACGATGTCTGCAGTGTGACAGTTTATAGAGATGTCTAACACTGGGGCATCATGCCGCATACATGTGACATGATGTCCCACCCAGTCATATTATCCTGACACCAGGCCAAACAGTCCTAACACTAACCTCTTAATGCTGAACGCCAAGCGAGGCAGCTTTTAGTACCACTTTAAAGTTTTTGGTATGACTAAGCCGGGGTTCGAACCTGCGACCTCCCGCATTCGAGGCGGACGCTCTAACCACTAGGTCACGGAAGCGGTTAGAACTAGGAGGGATATGATTTCTAAAACGTGCTTTACTCTATGGTACATAGCAGATGTCTGTGTTATTAAGAATACTGAACGATTCTGAAGTGTCCAGTCGCAAACAAAATACATGGAGTTTCTCATAAATATGCAGAACTTACTTAAATATCTACATGACCATGAGGCTAGTGTTCTGGAAATTTAATTAGTCGCAAGAAACATTTTTTAACTACCTGGCCTTGACATAATTAATGATTTAGTAGTTGAACATTTTGAGCGTCATGGTGAATGCCACCTTCCCTCTCTCCTCAATATATTGATCAAACATCTCTCACAGACAAACCTAGAAATATGCAAACATATAGAAACAATGTGCAGTCGACCTGTAAAACTTTTCTACAATATATTACTATTGTTTAAGCACGTTCTAAAAGGCAAAATAAAATATTGTCATACTTCATACGCACGACCTTCAGAACCAGTCGTAAGCTCTCCAAGAATAGTGAAATCCACTTTAGGCAATTATCACCTTTAATTCTACAAAGGCAAAATGTGGCAACAAATCTATAAAAGAACATGGAATAAAAAAGCAGCGCACAAAATACGACATAACATTTGTCAACACCAAAATAAAGTTGTATTTCTATATTCAAAATGTCGAAAACTTTGTTCAAGTATAACTTACTGACAATAGTTTTTAAGTTATGTTAAACTGACACGTACGTTGGGATTTCTTTGTCTAAAATAATGGTTTGACTACGTCACTAGCAAATGCGCAAAAATGAGAACTGAAGATTCGGGCAAAATTGCTCCATCCTCACTACATTAAAAATTTAAATTCCAGAGATGTTTTAGACATTTTCTCAAATTAAACTTTTCCAAGGTTAAATATTAGATAGTTTTCAATTTTGAATTTATTACTTTCAATTCCGGAATATTTTTTCTAATTTTTACTTTCAAATTTTATAATTTTCTAGTTTTGAATTTCAAATATTTGTAAACATAATCTTCAATTTGGAATTGTCAATCTTCGATATATATTTTTGCAACATTTACTTTTTCAATTATTTCATTAATTTTTCTAATTTATAATTTGTTTCCATTTTTCTAAATTATTTGTAAATACTCAATCATTTCTGGATGAAAATAAAATCTCAATTTTTGATTATTGTGTTATATATATATATATATATATATATATATATATATATATATATATATATATATATATATATATATATATATATATAGAGAGAGAGAGAGAGAGAGAGAGAGAGAGAGAGAGAGAGAGAGATGGATAGATAGGTAGATAATACAGTAGTGTATTGCTTGTGTATGTTTCCAATAATAATTGATTCCGGACAGAGTTTTGTGGTTTCTACTTATATTATAAAAGTGTTTAAATCTTTAAACAAAAGTTCTCTAATCTTCCAAGTCTGTTATTCGGAATATATGGCTAAATATGCATACTGTATAGGTTTCACAGCAAACGACAGTACGTAAATTGACGCACCCCAATGTTATCTTAAGGGAAACAACGGTTTGTTCAAAATATCGTCACCGGTACGTGTGTCTGAGTGTAATTTAGATTTTTAAGGTAGCTTTTAACAATTTTTCAGTCATATCGCTACCTTGTCTACAGTGTGACAGTTTACAGTGATGTCTCTAGCACTGAGGAATCATGCCGCAGTCATGTGGCATGATGTCCCAACCAGTCACATTATCCAGACAGCAACCCGACCAGTTCTAACACTAATCTCTTAATGCTATACGCCAAGCGAGGCAGCTTTCAGTATCATTTTAAGAGTCTTTGGTATGACTCGGTCGTGATTCGAACCTGAGATCTATCGCATCCGAGGCGGACGCTCTAACCACTAGGCCACCGGAACGGTATTACCTGTACGTAAATTGACGCACACAATTAATGTTTTGCTGATTAAGACAAAATAAACGTTTGGTCCAACTACTTCATTTTCTAGATTACAACTCTGCTCAAACATAAACAAAACACTAGCACGTCAATTACTTACGCTGAAGGTCTTCATAATGCATAGGGTTACAACAAAGTGTGGATCCTGGATCTGACCTTATGTGAACTGTAACTGTCACATCATTTGTAGCAAAAGAATGTTAGAACCATAAATCACCACCATCAGGCAAAAATAAAAAAAAATCATTTACAGTGATACTCACCAGAAAATATTTTATATGCATCCGTGTCTCGCAAAGAAGCAACCATTTATATTCCCTCAATTATATGCATGCGTTGTTCCAAGATATTATCAGCGTTCAAATGAAAATGGAGTCCAAGGTAAAAAAAAAAGCACAAAAAAACTTAAAATAGATTCAAAACCAAAGAAAATTATCATTTTATAACCGACCGTCGATAATAGTATTACTATCGAACCAGAGGAGACATCATCATATAATATATGAGGTAACCGTTACATGTAAGATAAACGTAAGTTTCTGCAACAATGGTTGAAAACATACAGCTGGCTACGTTTTCAAAAAGAAGTTAAGTCGAGTGAAGAATGTGATGGTGAAGACGCCTTTATGTTTAGCCATATATGTACATATGTACAAAGGCTAAAATAAACCTCAATGACCAAATGTGCACACAAAAATCAAAACCTTTCATAATAGTACACTGGAAAGGCATGCTGGGTTGCCAGAAAACAAACTGCTGATTGAACTACAAATACTCTCCAAATTCGTGAATAACATTTTGTCCAAGTCTCAACATATCTTGATTCCAATCTTACGTGCATTGCTTTTCTCGCTAACTCGGAAATGAACACAATTATGACACCTAAAATTGTTGTTGTGGTGGTGGTGGTCTGGATTATACTGGCGTGCGCACACAAGTGCATTTGAAAGTTGTTTATTCCTGCACCGCATACTGTTAACTTTCCTTGGGGGATGGAATTGAGCCACATTACCCAGGCTTTATTGCACTCAAGGAGTACTGTTAATTTTGCCGTCAGGTAGCATAAAAATAAGTCATACAGCTACCTTGATGATAGGCCAGTATGAGTAAGAATAGTCCCAACACACACTCCTGTTGTTCATTCTACCTAGTCTAGTCTTGAGTTAGGTGCGCGCTTTGCACGCCTATTTTTGGCAGATGGTGGAGAGGTCCGGAGGAACGGTAAGGGTAAGGTGGCTCCATGTCACGGCTAGTTATCCAGGGCTGTGTCCAGGGTGTTGGTTCACTCGTTCGTGTTGCTTTGCTCTGGTCCTCTGTGTTGCTTTCCTTGGTGATGTATAATGGCTGTTTTCTGGTTGATGGTGCGCGCATTATATGATTGTTGGTGGTAGTAGGCAGAGAGGTTTGGTGGAAAGGGTAAGGCGGCTGTCTCCGGAGTGTTGGTCCACTTGTCTTTGTTGGTTTGTTTTGGTCCACTGTGTTGTTTTCCTCTGTGATGTTTCCAATGTTGATTTCAGGTTGTTGGTGCGCGCATTGCAAGCTTGTTGGTGGTAGTTGACGGAGGGGTCCGGAGAAAGGGTAAGGCGGCACCATGTGGCGGCTAGTCATCCAGGGCTGTCTCCAGAGTGTTGGTCCAATTGTGGAACGTTTGTTTGCTTGAGAAAGTTTTGTTTTATAACTCTGTGTTGTTGTGTTATATTAGTGATAAGAAATGTTAGAGAACCTTGGGTGACAGTCAATTGGTTATCGGTGTTTTCTCACCTTTTATGACTGACCCTGATAGTCTTGGGCTTAGACCACCTTATACGTGTTATTTTTTGGGTCTTACTGGGTAATCCTGTCCTTTATTGGTTGCTTGATCCATGATTTTGTGGTAGATTTACTAACTTAGAGTAATTAATTGCCGCCTTGTGCAACTGTACCTGACTGTCGTTGGGTTTTTTGATCACCTCATATTTTTTATTTGGGGCCATATTGTGTTTATTTGCCGCCTTGGGCCTATTGGTCGTTTGGGTTTTTGACCACCTTATACTGACTATTCGAGGTCATATTTTATTACTCTAATTTTGATGGGAAGGCTGTCACCGCTTGGTGTGGATAGGGTTATTATCAGATAGTAGCTAGAGCAATAGATTCAAATGAGAAATGAGAGAGAGTATGGTTTTAAAAGAGAGACTGGGGGTTTTTGGTTTCCTTTTGTTTTTGTATCGGGTGTTTTGCTTTTTAGGCGTGAGGGATTACTTTTGCATGGAGAGACCACTATGCTGAAAAATCAGGTCCCTATCGACATATCATAGACTCCCATCCAGTGTTAATGCCATCCACACTGTACGTTTTTTTGAAAAGGTGTATTACCTAGGATTATGTTTTCGCTGTGTATTTAGATTTTTTTATTTATAGCGATGTTATTGAGCTGTATGCCTATTTATTTTATTTCATTTGGGCAGACGTCCCTCCTGACAAATCAGGTTGTTGTTTTAAATTTTCCTTTCTAGGTCAGTTTCATTTAAATATTTGATGATATTATTATTAAAAGTTGTGGTTAGGTTGTTGTTACTATCTAAGAACTACATATATGTGAATGGGGCTTTGATGTGTTTTTATGCAAGTTTTGTTTTTCCTGTTCTTATACGGTTTATAACCTTTTAGTCCAGGCTGTTTACCTGTGGTGGTTTTATGGACCTGTCAACTTCTTTAACTGTGCTGTTTAGTTCCCTGCCTTTATTAATAGAGTTGCAGTATTCCTGCCATTTATTGTTTTGACTATACTTTGTGCTTCGAAGATACTATACTTTAGTGGAGCCGGCTTGAGGTATATTGGCTCATTTTTAGCGACTGTGTCAGAATGTTAATTACCGGGGATTCCTATATGCGATGGTACCCATACAAATTCTACTGCTAGGTTTCTGGAGGATATTTCCATCAGCAAAAGGGAAGTCCTGGCTAGGAACATTGTTTCTGCTTTATTGTTTCTAGTTTTTGTTGTTGGTATGACACTAATGGAGTCGCTAATGATTACCGTTTTACTGATGTTGTTTTCTAAGACCCACTTTAGGGATTCATTTATGACCCATAATTCGGTGGTGTCTATTGAACAGTGGTCTGATAATCTAGTTCCCATTTGAATGTTGAGTTCTGGGATTAACTCTGCTGCTGGTGTTCTGGGTGGGTCATTTGTTTCAGAACCGTCAGTGTAGAATTTTACGAAACTGGAGTAGTTTTCAAGTACTTCTTCTGTGATGTTTAACTTTATACTGACTTCCTGTCCTAATTTATTACCATATTAGGGTGGCTATGGTGTTTATCCTTGATTTTAAGTTTATCCAAGGTGTTGGGTCAAGGGTTTCTAAGTATTTCTCCTGTTTTGTCTAGTAATGGTTTTTTCCAATCCGCTTGTTGAGCTCGGCATCGAGCGAGAGGTTGTTGGTGATGGTAGAGCCAAGGTAAGTGAAATCACTGACTACTTCCAGTTTGTAGTTGTTGATGATTATGCTGGGAGGGTCTGCGTCCTAAGCCATCACGTTGGTTTTCTTTAGGCTGATGGTCAACCCGAATTCATCACATGATTTAGCAATGCGGTCTATCAAGCGTTGTAGTTCAGCTTCTGTGTGAGTGACAATAGCAGCATCATCTGCAAAGAGCATGTCCCTAATGGTTGCTTTCCTTACTTTGCTCATTGCCTTCAATCGTGCCAGGTTGAAGAGTCTGCCGTTTCAAACCATGTGCAGGTAGATCCCTTCTGTAGACATCCCAACGGCGTTCTTAAGCAGGACAGCGAAGAAGATGCCAAAGAGCGGCGGGGGGGCAAGGACACAGCATTGTTTCACTTCGCTGTTGATGTTAAATAGTTCGGACAATGAGCCATCATACTGCACTGTTCCTTTCATGTCTTTATGGAAGGACTGTACCATGCTTAACAGCTTTGGCGGGCATCCAATCTTCCTCAGAAGTATGAAGAGTCCATCTCTGCTGACCAGATCGAATGCTTTGGTGAGGTCTATAAAAGCCAGGAAGAGGAGTTTGTGCTCTTCCCTGAACTTCTCCTGCACTTGTCTGATGGAGACGATCGTGTCGATTGTGGACCTCTCTGCGCGGAACCCACACTGAGACTCTGGATACACTCTTTCGGCAAGCGTCTCCAGTCTGTTCAGGATGACTCTACCCACGATTCTGAGAAGTGATATGCCTCAGTAGTTCTTGCAGTCACTTCTGTCTCAATTGTTCTTATACAGGGTTACGATGTTGGCTTCTCTCATGTCCTGAGGCACCGCACCTTCATCCCAGCACTGGCAGAGAAGATCATAAAGGTGTGTGAACAGCACACTGCCGCCACACTTGATGACTTCTGCTGGGATGCCATCCTTTTCTGGGGCTTTACCTGTGGTCGGTTTCTCTAAGGCCATCTTTAGTTCTGCCTCAGCAGGTTTCTCATCCAGTTTGGCCAAACAAAGGAGATTTTCAATGGCGTTGAGGGCATCGTTGGTCACGTTATTCACTTTGGAATACAGTTCGGAGTAGTACTCCACCCAGCATACCATCTGTTTGCCCTTATCGTGAATGATATCGTCTGCAGAAGACTTCAGTGGAGCTATGACAATCTTCGTTGGACCCATTGCTTTCTTTATGCCATTGTACATGCGTCTGATGTTTCTCTTGTCTACTGCTGACTGGATGATCTGACAGAGTAGAAGCCAGTATTCATTGGCGCATTGCCGTGCTAACCTCTGCACTTTGCTTCTGGGTTTGCTGACAGAAATCCTCTGCTGGCTAAGATAGAACACTGCCAACAAGGAAACGAAAGACTGCTATCTCTTTGCCTCCACACCACAACTGGGCCAATTAACATGATCAGTGTTTACGCTCCCACGCTCAGTGTCACCACAGATACCAAGGATGAGTTTTACAACGAGCTCGACTCGCTCATCGACAAAATTCCAATGGAAGAGAACTTGATATTAC